GATATTTTGTAGCGGGCACTTGCGTTGGCTGAAGCACAGTTCTGCCTATTTTACTATTTATCCATCAAACAGCATAATCGTTCCTGACAAGTGCTGAAAATGGATTTCTTGCTGTTTGCTGACCTTTGTCAGTTTTCTTGGTTTCTTTTCTGCATTCCAGCTCTTTCTCTCCTCACCACCACCCCCTTCCCCCAACTACCCTCACCCCCCCCTCCACAAGATCTTGCAGAAGATTCCACGGGTAGCAAGAATTCTCTGGATCACAGGAATGTGTTGGCCTGATTAAGAAAAATGCATCTTTGACTCCCACACACCTTAATGCCTACAGGCTTGAACAGCAACCCTACCAAACAACCCGTTCCCCCCCCCCCCACCCGCCCCAACCACCTCCTCCAAGTTACTCAACTTTGCGCTTTCTAAAATCAATAATTGCAAACAGCTCCGGTCTTGTCTTGTCTCTAACACAAGGAAGTGGATTGAGTTGCAGGAAGGGAAGTGTTGAAAGCCACATTACCTTGACCATCACTCTCCTCTTTCCCCTCACAGCTCCAAAGAAAAATACCCTGATAGGAAGCACTCCTAGCTTCTGGTGCAATGATCCCATAGCACTCCCACCCAGTGACCTAACCAACAATCTGCAAATAAGAAAAATCAGTCCTTTACTTCACTGGCACTTTGTTGTGCGCAAATTGACTGCTGCATTTGTCCACAAAATACTAGGTCACTGCACTTCACAGTATATCCAGTGAAGCTTGTTGAGATGTGGTGGCAATGCCATAAGGTACTGTATCAGATGCGAGGATTATAATTTATTACAAATATCAATCGTTTATTATTTGTTATGTTCCAAGTCGACAAGCAGCATGCACACAGACAGCAAACTTGACCCATCGCATTTTTTAAGTAGTGAAGAGGGAAATATACCCAGTGTTCGCCCCGTCTTAGCACAGCTGCACTTGTGTAAATTCAAGGACAGGGTGCTTTGAAAAAAATCATTTTAAGGACAATAGAAACTTCAATAGCCTTCAATAATGGCCCATTATCGTCCTTGTCTGCTTAGATAAATTAGCCATCTAATAGGATACCACCTATGGAGTGTGGACAATGATACCATTTTCCTTTCATTGCCATAAACTGTGCAAATAAACCAAGGCCTTTTATGAAGACCTTTGAGGAATGTTGTACATATTAGGAATGTGGGGGATGAGTGTTCAGGTTTCAGTGTTGAGTGCCTGCAATGTATTCTAACTAGATTCCTGTCACACCCAGTCTTGAGTAACCTAGAGGCTATATTGCAAGACCCAGGCACACTTAATTGAGGCGCTGTATCAAATGCAAGGATTATTATTTTTATTATTATTCGGGGGAGATGGCGGGGTGATTTGTTAATGTATATCTAGTGCATATCTTTACAGTTTGTTTTTGACATACACACAGTCACTCCTCTCTGCGTTGACTTTGAGATGTCCTCCTGACGTGAAAGACAAAATATCAAATGCATAGATTATTATTATTATTAACCAGAGTTCGCTGAGAAAACGCTGCACTTAAAGCAAGTGACATTGTCAAATAAAAATGTGAATGAATCTGTGTTGCCCGTGTCTCTCTCTCTCCCTAAAGAATACGCAACGCACTGGTCTGCCATCATCGGAGCGTCACACTCAAAGAATTATATCCTGTGGGAGTACGGAGGATACGCCAGTGACGGGGTGAAGCAGGTAGCAGAGTGGGGCTCCCCTGTGAAAATGGAAGAAGAAATCAGGCAGAAGGTAGGTCAGAGCAAGGGCAGCCTCTCAGCAACTGCACTCAAAGGCTCCAACCACACACACGTGCACACACGAGCCATGTGGATTTACTCGGTTGGAGCTCTGATTGGTATAAAGGCTGCATTTGATACGGTCATGCTTGGATCAGCAGCTAATTTTATTACCATGCCTGCTCAGTATTTGCCTTTCACAGCACCTGGAAGACCTTCTTGAAGCACCACAGCTCAGCTCAGTGAGTTAGCAACTCTTGTTGATTCCTTCAAGCACAAATTAGATCGTTCTCTTTTAGGAAACAACATTACGGGATGCAGACGAAATGAAGCTTTGTCTTTTTTTTTGTCTCGCATTTCTTATGTAACATCAGTTTAAAGCATGAGGTGGGAGGGCTGATGGATCACCGCACCTCCGTGTCTCTATCCTCTGCGCAGATTGTAAAGGTGTCGTTCAGCTGTCAGTGTTCATTCCCGGTTTGCGCAACTTCAAGGTTTATTCTTAAAAATAAAATAAAAGTCCAGCCAGTTCTGAAACAAAGCTCAGTGAATTGCGAACACAATTGGCAAAATGACTTTGAGTTGACTTGGCTTGTAACTGTTATCGCTTGTTTTACACTGACGTTGCTGTAATAGGAATGAATGTACAAGTGGCACAGGTCCCTTCCATTGAGGATCACAAACCAAACTCTCTAAATCATTTGCGTTGCTCTCATGTCATTAAGCATTTCTGTAAATTCAGTTGAAATTGTATTACCTAGATTATTGGATCCACATAATAAGCTTGCAATTTGCATAAATATTCTATGATTGGGAATAGTAGAACGTTGCCAGAACTCTTTTGTATTTAATTCTCTGAAGGGTTGGCGAAACCAGATTCTGTTTCTTGAATCTGTTTTCTAAGTGACTTATAATGCTTTAGTTTGATCTGTTGCCTTATTACATCTACAGTGGATTCCTGAAGCTCAGTGGTTTGAGCACTCGACCCGCAAGTGAGAGATTCCCGGGTCAGGGCGAAACATTGGGCAAGTTTCCTTACACACACCTCTGTTTACTCAGCAGTAAGTAGGAACCCGGTTGTTAGTATTGGCGGATCGCTTTTCCGGGGGTAATAATCCCTAAAAAATAAATAATAATAATTGCACCAATTGCGCACAGGAGTGTCCCACAAACAACTGAGAGCTTTTGCAGACTGAACATTTGTAATTTGGCCTGAATTCCTCTCCAGAAATGTGATCTTGTCTTCTCCACTGACTTTTATTGACCTGGCCCAAAACCCAGCGTTTGCTTTGTTATGGCTCGAGGCTCAATTGAGTTTCTCTCAAGATGGTTTCTTGCTTGTATTGCATTTTGCTTGCCAGAACGCTCCATTCCAAACTGCAAACGCCACTGAAAATCCATAAGAGTGATGGAACAAGTCTGTACTCCAATAACTGGTCGTCCGTTCATGGAAATGTAACCCCTTCTGCCCCCGTCCCCCACTCGCCCCCCATTATGAGCCAAGTGGAGATGAGGGTGATGTGCAGTGTGGCTTTCTGTGGATTGCTAACGGCTTGTCAGATTGCAATTGTTGAATGGCTTCCACTGTATAAAGGAATGCGCTCCTTAACAGGAATGTTTAATATCGATTGTGGTGCAAAGCTGCTTAGTCCAGTTTTCGTCAAAATAACCTTAGCTCTGCATACCGCAACGCCGAGTGTTCAGGTTAAGGCTTTGTTCTAAAGAATTTGATGAGGAATACTTTACTTTTCTGAGTGTTACAGCTATTACGTCGTCAGTAATTTTACATGATACTTGGATTCCTTATTGAGGAATTCCATTGCGGAATACCCCAAACTAGATCCCATAATCTCTCTTTATATAACATAAGCAGTAAAGAGTCGTGGGATGCACTTACGACCCAGGACAATTAATTTGTGGGTGTACATGCAGGAGCAGTGACAGTTTCTTCCACCGATCGTCTTGTTGGTAGACAACGAGTCAAGTGAAATGGGAGAACACTTATTTCCAAAAAAAAATTTTGGCAACAGACCGCATGTCATTCTAATGGGGAATGTGCAATGAGGACAGAGTTCATAGTCTGTTGCCAGCTGAATTTTGCTCAGCAAGTCACTGCTTTTAGTTTATCTGGTGAGACGCAGCAAGACTGAGTCAGTAGCAAAGGAAAACTGCTCTGCAAATGCCACATCTTCACCACAGATGGTCTCTCCAGCTGCTGCAGACCTAATGAGGAATTTAGTTATGCTTATGTATTCGTTTGCCTTTGTGAACATCTAAATCTAAAATAAGTGCCTGCTACGAGCCTCTGACTAGACAAGTTTATAACCAGGCTTGCATTTGATGTCACACTTTATCATGTCAAAATGTTTCAAAGCACCTTGTGCCGTGTGCTACTTTGGAGAATGAGGATTTGTGTATTTTCTATATTTTTTTTTAAAAAAATGCTTGATGGTATGATGAGAGGACTGTTGGGTGGGTATTCTGGAAAGATGATATTAAATTGGCCAAAGGGTCTTCTTCATCCAAATCTCTTGTTTAATCTTGTGACTGTAGTCATGTAGGCAGATGTGTTGCTGACCTGTGCCAACAAAATGCCCTAAATTGCATTGAGAATTAGTAGATGTAAATTTAGTAGATTCAGCAGTTACAGTGGGTATCTCCCTGCTCTTGAACAGTGTTATGGGATATTTAAATATCACCTCAACCCCTAGACATGTCCATAAGTCATTTCTAGGGGTTGTTTCTAGTGGTTCTTGTGTCTTAGTGGTTGGAGTACTCGCCTAATAAGACGTAGAGATCTGAGTTTGATTCCCGGGCAGGGTGAAACGTTGGACAAGTTTTCTTACTTCACACGCCTCTGTTTACCCAGCAGTAAGTAGGAACCCGGTTGTTAAGTCGATTGGTGGATCGCTTTTGTAGAGGTAATAATCCCTTCAAACAAAATAATAATTTGGTTACTTAATCCACGATTGTTTGTGGGACGCTGCTGTGTGCAATTGGCTGCCGCGTTTCGCCCACAAAATATGCCATCAATTCCCTTTGCAGTGTATTCTGTGAAGCACTTTGAGACGTCTCGAAGACGTGATAAGGCGCCGTATCAAATAAAACGATCATTATTTTATTATAAAATGAGCTCAGCTTCTGGTGTTGGATTCAAGCACACACCTTGCTGACTAATAGTGACTTGTCTTATTTCCTCTCAAGCTCTTCTCCTCCACATTCAGATGTGCACAAATTGGCTGCCTCGTTCGCCTACGAAATACAGTGACTAGATTTTACAGTATACCCTGTGCAACACTTTGAGATGTCCTCCTGTCATGAAAAGTGCTGTATCTAATGCAATTCTCTGTAATGGTGCGGTAATCCATGCACATCCTTTTATGAGGAATAGTTTGTGCAAACAAGCCCACATTTTTACTCTGCTATATTTTTGGTTTGTTACGCATAAATTTAAGTTTAGCACTCATGTTTAGCATCCGTAAAATTTCCTTTGAGCCGATTTGTAATTTTAGCACCTATTTATTGTGTAAAACATTTCAGTTTTTTGAATACACAAATGACACAAACACAACTTCAAAACCAGGTATCAAAGTAAGGCAATGAATGAGCTTCCCACTGTGATTCATAATTGCTTCATTAACTGCACCCACCAAGTAATTTTCAATTATCTCTTTCTCTCACTCTCTCTGTCTCGGTCTCTCTCTTAGACAACAGAGGGACACAACAGAGCTGTAGCTTTGCAAACATCAAGGAAATACATCTCCCCGATAACTAGTAATGAGTTTGAAACAACAATAATAATCCTTGCATTTGATATAGCCCCTTATCACGTCTTCTAGAGGACTCAAAGTGCTTCACAGAATATGCTGTAAAGTGAATCGACTGTATATTTTGTGGGCAGAGCCAACTTGGGTCGAAAAAATATTCGAGGCCAGACCAACATGTGGTGAACTGTAACATTCAATGCACAGTCACTGCGTTTGGCAATAAATCCTATGAAGCTCTTTGAGACAGTCTCCTGACACGAAAGGCACTTTATCAAATGCAAGGATTATTATTATTCTAATGATAAAATGTCCATTATCTGATGAAAAATGATCCAGTGGCTTAATTCACTTACTGTTGGAACCTGAATGGAATAACACTAGTGTTATAATGACCCACTTACAATGCAAGTCCAAGGGAAACATGTGCACCATTTGATGGTTCTATTCATGTTGATTTGAACTCCACTTAAGCATCTCCTGGGTCAGCCATATATCATGCAGTTTTTGTTCAGATGCTTATTTTTTCCCCCTTCAATCTATTGCACATTTTTATTGAAATGAACATTTAATTCCCAAGTGCTGCTAAAGACTATGGCAATCAGGCATTGATTTGCATGTGTGTTAGAGTGTGGTGTGGTTTATCATTGTTTGAATGTAATAGATTCTCTGGGTAAATGTTTGGGGCCACTAAGCTATTCAGCAAGGAGGGAGGGGGGTGAGGAGGTCAATGTTGATCTCTTTTTGGCTCTATTAGAAATGAGATTGAAACGCTATATATAGGATGTGACTGCGGGAAAAAAAACACTGCCAAAGCGACAAATCCATGATTTAAATTGTGCTTCGGGAAAGGGCTTATTGAAGACGTAGAGAAGCAGGGCTGCAAAGCAATTGCTCACCACCCCTTCATCACAGTGGCACACAACAGGGAGCCTTCGCAGTGATTCCAGGGAAGTTGTTGAGACGCAAAACCCAGTTGCCAGTGTGCGCAATCCACAGCCTCGCTGAAGAGTAAGCTTTCTCATTAGTGAAGCCAGCTACTGTTGTCAGGTGTGATGGCTTGCCTGCGGTTCACACAAGAGCTGCCTTACTGCTTGGCCGACTCTTACTACAGAACCCAATTTTCTCCCAAATGCTATCCACTGGCATCCTCCCTAATTCAGGGCTTAGCTCATTTGTTTTCTGAGTTAAACCGTGGGCTGTAGGCGCCTTTCGCTTATTATTTCAGTTGATGCACCACACAGGCAGG